TGCTCCCTTTCAGGAATTGCTTGAATGTAGGTTAGACAATTAGTAGTTTTGGAGGTTTTAGTCAGGATTGAAGCTGCCTTGGGCAGGAAGCTGCACGAGATGACCTGTTAAAGTCCCGTTCAGGCCTCTTGTTCTGTAACTTTATACGCGTAGCTGAACCCGAGGCATGTCAGCAATGGTATATGGCATAGGAGCCACATTTTGTAGCTGGGACATTCAAGTTCTCTGGCATTTGGGGTGTTTTTTTTTTAATGAAAAGGTAAATCCTCTACAAGACACCGGCTATTGTGTTTCCGTGGTCGAATCCTTATCTACCATATGGAGACCCGGGTTTAATTCCTGGGCTTGCATGTAACTACAACAGTCATCGAGACACTAAACATCTGGACTCGGTCTGGTCCTTGGATACTGCCTAAAAGGGGTGGGGGAAGGAAGATCTGGGCAGCCTTCACTCCTGCCTAGGTGTCTGCATTGATGATCCCGGTGACCTCTCATGCATACACCATGACGCAAAAGGATCAAGTTTTCCACTACAACTAAATGCTCCGCAGGAAGCAGCAGCTTTTTTGCAAACAACGTACTGAGCCCAAAAGCCTTTTTGCAAAAAAAACGTATTGAGCCCAAAGCTCAATGTTTTCCAGAAAAAAAATTTGAAAGAAAAAAAACCTGACTAGAGCCAACGATGAATAAGATGGGGTCATTTCCCCTTCATCACGTCCCTGGATTCACCTCGGAGGCCACGTTATTCTTGCAAGCTGAAGAGGACTGGGGTGGCTACAGTTCAACTGCGATCTGTAGCTGTCCGACACCGCTGTTTGATAGCTGCGCGCTGGGGAGATAACAGCTGATTTCCATCTTGTTTTGTGTGGGTTGACTCATGTGTAGGCTGTGGATTTGATTTAAACAGTTTTGCCAGAGCAGGAAATACTCAACCTCTCAACCTGAAGCAAGATAAAGCAAGCGATACCTAAGCCCTGCAAAAAAGTGATGGTCCCCGGGTGGAGCTGCCCACCAGTGCATAGCTGCTGACCAGGGCAGGACGCGTGGCAGAGCTTTGCACTACAAATATTTAAGTAACAACTGGCTGGACTGACCTTTCCTCCTGGTTCACGGAGAATTTCTCCTGGAGATGCTGCAATCCTGCCTCTGTTTATGTGGGCAGATAGACTGCCCAAGTAAGGCAGGCTGGGAGGAACGCAGAACCTCTTCTGCCCATTCTCCGAATACAGCACACTGAGACTTGAGGCTCTGTGATGTCCCATCCTGATCCTGCACAACAGAACAGCGTAGCAGCGGCAGTCTCCTGATCCCTGCCAGCTGTAATGCCATGGGATCCAAAAACCCAACGACTTCAGCTCCCCTCTTTCAAGACGGTGCCATTTCTTTTGGGTGTGGAGCAATGTCCTCCATGGGCAGGGATCCGGGTTTTCTGTATGCTGTGGAAAAATGTGGATATTTCTCCTGTAGCAAAGAAAAAAAAGCTGTTTTTTCTCCTTTAATGAAGACAAATATGGATTTCTCCTTTAAACAAGGAAAGCATGGGAAACAGCGGGTCACCCCTTGCAAACTGGAAGAGTTCCAGCTTGCAATAGGCTGCTTGGGGCTGGGGAGGACATTCATTCGGAGGCAAGGGAAACCTTGTACATGCAGGTGGCAGCCAAGCAGCAGGAGAGAGCAGCTCCTGCAACCCCCTCCAAGTACATCTATGGGGCGGTGGAGAGGCACAGGTGATGCACTGGGGGAGGGCAGGGGGGCTGTGGCTTGGGAGTGAGGGGCAACAGCATAAGCAGGGGTCGGGAGAGAGAAGGGGGAAGGGGAGCTTTGATTTTCCGTGATTAAAAAAAAACTAAAACCGAAACACCAACATGTCTCCGTATTTAGAACGTAATTTTTTGCGATGATTGAGGAACTGGTCAGCTTCCAGATCACTTTAAAACTGTAAATGCATCAACGAAACATTGCATTCAGCTGATACCTATGCATATAGCAGCATTTCATTTTAGTTGTGGATTTGGGGGTTTAATCAGAGAATTTGCTATTTTAAAACAGAGAACACCAGGATCCCTGGTGATGGGAGATGAAGCATGCCCTGACCACCCATTTGAGGCAGTGGGTAGAGGGTTTTCCAAGCAAATCCTAGCTGGGACACACGACTCCTATTTTACAGGTAAAAAAACCTTTTAATCAGGTAGATTAAAAGGAGCAGGGAGGCCAATGACAGGCTCTAGACCAGTAGCAGACATGGGGTTTTAATTCTGGCTCCTGGGCCTGCTTTTGGTGAACTCCTTTGTGCTGTTCCCAAGGACTGGTCTGACAACCACCTGCAAGTCTTATGGCAAATGAACGTCTCCACCCAACTTCCCAGTATCCAGCACAGACCATTCAGCTACGTGCCATTGTCGCCAAGATCAACAGGAGCCGAGCCAGAGCAGGTAACACCATGCCTTTTTGCAAACATCCCTGCTTGCAAGCCTCATGGCTAGGGACCTACTAAATTCAGCGGCCCCACTTCCAGGATCTGGAGCCAGGCCCCTGCGTGTCTGCCAGAAGTGCAGCACGGTGCAACGGTGCAACCTGGAAGCTGCTCCTGCCCCTGCTGCACCGCACTGCGCCATGCCACGCCATTGCCAGCAGTTGAGCAGCTGCAGCCAGGTCCAGGACTCTGGCTTCAGCTCCTGGACACTTTCGCAGGAGCTGAAGCCAGAGCCCCGCGTGCTGGAGCAGGAGCAACTTCCAACAAGCTGCAGCCAGGCAGGTGCTGCTCTGCACCCCTGCCTCCAGCACAGCTCCTCCTCTTGCTACTGCTACACCACCCCGCACCACTCCCAGCAGGCACACAGGGGGCCAGCTCCAGACCCTAGAACTGGAGAGAGGGGGCACAGAGCAGTGCCCGGCCGGGCTGCAGGTGCAGCCAGGCAGGTGCTGCTCTGCACCCCTGCCTCCAGCACAGCTCCTCCTCTTGCTACTGCTACACCACCCCGCACCACTCCCAGCAGGCACACAGGGGGCCAGCTCCAGACCCTAGAACTGGAGACGGGGGCACAGAGCAGTGCCCGGCCAGGCTGCAGGCACTGGTGGGAGCATGGTGCTGATTGCTCTGGCACGAGCGAGCAGGGCTCGGCCTCATGCAGAGCACCACGGGGGCAGCGTGAACCGTACTGCCCGGGCACATGCCCCTCACCTTCCTCCCCTCCAGCAGGCTCCCAGGAATTAGCAACCAGGCAGCCCAAAGGCAGGGGCACTCCCTCCCCCACGTCCCCTCCAAGGGGACTTTTGGCAGGCTTTTCTGTCTCCAGAAAGGGAGGGGGGAAGCAGAGATAGGAAATTGCCTCTCCCCTTCCCCCACAGATAGTCTGCCCCCCCTTTTTTTCCCCCCCACCTCTCTTTGCTCCCTTCTCCCTCCCCTGACCCTTCTAGGAGACACGTTTTGCCAGCTTTGTTTTTCCACAGGGAACCAGCTATTTCACGGGAGACCGCCCATTACACGATTTGCATGAAATCCTGCATTTGGCAGGTCCCTACTCATGGCACACCTGGGAGAAAGGTCTCCCCTGCTGGTGTATGTCATCCCTATAAAAAGGGCACCAGTTTGCATCTTCAGGGCTCCACACATACATGCAGACCTTTTTACATAGCCAAACGTGGCTGCAGCTAGGTAATGCCGTAGTCCACACATCGCCTGCAAATATAAGACACCAGACATGACTTTGACAAACTTTATTTAGTTGAGTAGGTGTTTGTGGCATTGCTGGGACAGAACATGGGATGGAAGAGATCACCACAAAGCAAAAAACACACACGGTGAAACCCAAGGACCACATGCAACAGGCACCTTCAGAGCCCTTCATGAAGGGCAGCCTCTCTGCCCATAGGCAGCTCCCATTCCATGAGTAATTTTCTCCATTTAAAAACAGAGTACTGGCCAGGTACATTTGCAGAGTTTTGAAAGCACAGACAATCCTCTTATGGGCAGCTGATGCACAGTCTCCCAGAAACCCCAGCACAGAGAGTCTTACAAGTCGTTGCTCAGACATGCATGCTTTAAAAATGCTTGCAGAGGAGTTTGCACCAACTGTTGGCAGGGCTTGCAAGTCTTCTGGGTCAAGTTGCTCCAAAAGCCAAGTGATTTAGGAAACTAAATCCAGCTAGCCTCCAATGGGAGTGGGATGCTTCCCCCCTATTTGTTTGAAAGGGTTACCTTCAATCTCTACTATTAGTAAAGGCTTTCAATTGGGCACAAGTTTTGTTCTACTTCTTGTACAGGCAGAGCCTACCGTAGCACACAAAGGAGATTCGAGACAAAAGGCATGGAACAAAAATTTATGGAATTTTAGTATTTCTGCAGCCTTAAAATTTCCGGATGTGCAGAACCCCGGTTTTGAAGCCCATTATCAGCTCGGCAGCTCCTGACCTTTTCAGGTCCCTGCCTTTCCACTTGGCTTTCAACTTCCAGCCTGGACCGCAAGATTCACTTGTCATGGGTCTATTTGAGTTGCTGCAGAGTCAAATGCTGCATAGCAAGAGGATATTTGAATCCTGCCTGCAAAATCACACCAGCCTCTATTTAGGCTTTAGGCACCACAAAATAGGCAGCCGAAATCTAATTGCTGGAACAGCTGATGCTGAGTTTGTAGCACAGGGAGTCAGAAGAAAGGACCAATAATCTAAACTTGGAAACTGAGCCACTTCAGTTATGAGTCAGAGATCATGGGACCCCCAGTCACTCTGACAGCATCCTTTCTGGCACTTCAATAATCTGACTGATAAATCTGTGCTTTACTTAAAGTTAAAAACCATCACCACCCACTGGTGAATTTATTCACTGCTATTTTGAAAGAAAGATCCAGACTTCAGACATGGATACACTCCAAATAATAGCAGCAGAGTTGAAAGATTTTACCTAAACAAGACATTTCTGCTCTGTAAGGGAGTTAGGCTACAATGGCAACAACTTGTATCCCCAAAAGCTAAGGTGCGGGACCCAAATCAACGTTGCTGAGGAGCAGCTGAAGCTTTCAAGTGCGCTAAACACTCATTTAGAAGACTAGGGATGCGCACATAAAGGCTTTTAGCTGCTTACAAAAATAAAAACAATAGTCTAATTCTTTTGGAATCAGTGCCACCAAAAGAGGTCTTGTTAGCCCAGGCCGTTTGAAGTCAACTATATAATCCTTCCCAGGCTCCACTAGAAGGTACAGAACAACTGCTGGTGTTCTCCAGCTGGAGCTTGGGTTAAAGAAAGTGGCAGAAAAGTTCAAAATGAGGCTGAGGATTATTATGGAAGTCAGATGTTCATGAGAACTTGGATTCTCCTACCCAGAAGATCAGATCAAGAAGACAATGTCATCCGACAACATGATCTGGTTGTCATCTTGCATGCGTCCCAGTGCCATCTTGACTTCAGCAGATGAAAACGGTTCAGGATTGTCCTGGTTGATGGATTTCATCAGGGCCTTCAGACCTACAGACTGCGCGTGAGAAGCTTTGAACACTTCCAGGAGGGCTGCCTTGAATGCCTTCAGCCTAAGCGAGCAAAAGGAAGGTCTGCTAGAATCAAGAGCTAAAACATAAGACACTCTCTTCCCTGCAGCACCAGGTCAAAATTTAACACCCAGCTACGTGGTCTTCCCCAGACCAAGCCTCACCCCACTAAAGAAACCAAAGACTGGTGTCACTGACTGCTATTAGGTTTATGGAAGGGGTTTATACCACAGTGAAATGTTTCCTACACCTTAAGGGGGTTACGTCCCAAAGTCATGCCATTCACTGATGCTCTCCAAAAAACATTCGTGCCACCCCACCCTGCCATGCAAACATGAGACCATCGCCACTTCCTGGGCATTCATGACGAGTCTCCCATTCAAGTGCTGACACAGGCTGACCCGGATTGGTTTACAAAACCTGAAGCAGACTGTAACCTAAGATGAGGTTACGGGCTGTACTAAGGATCAAACTCCTACACAGACAAGACCCAGTGCCCAGGAAAGGCATGCAAGCTCTTGGACGGATGCCTATGGAAAGTGCATCTAAAATGCAGACACCCATAATGGAGCGAACCCACCCACTGCTTCTTTAGCCTGCCACGCACCTTGACTCAGTCAGCTCAGGCTTTATAGCCCCTCCAGTCTCCGCGGCTTCTGGAGTCTTAGGAGTATGTGCCTGGACTGGAAGCAGAGAATAAAGAGAAGAGATTTAACCGGCCAGCAGTGAAGAATTACACTCAATCCCCTCAAACATCCGTGTGCATGCAAAGGGTGGTAAAGCACACTGCTGCAATCCAGGGTCAGAGTTACATCTTAGCCTGTGCCTGAACAGCACCCAGCAGGTCACAGGTGCCAGACACTGTCCCAGAAAAAGAAAGTTATCCCTTTGGGAGCATTTACAGAGTGGGCTGCAATTCACATTACAGGTTAACTGTTTGCACAGGAGAATAAAAGGACCCTGAATGCTGCCATAAGGACCCTGGATGGTCCTCTCCCAGCATCTGATAAAGTGAGTGAGCTTTAGGTCATGAAAGCTTGTGCCATATCACATCTATTTGAATTAAACTATAACATGCAAATCTACTACATCCTTTGCTCTCATAATAGCCATGCTAATCATTAACATCTATGAGCCAACAGGCATAAAAGGAAGGATGCCCTCGGCATGGGAGGACTACAGCAGCATCCCTCACTGTATTTATTTAGTGCCAGCTCTGTTATCATGCATTTTGGAGAAGCAAGTGCATGAAGACACTGCTACCTCTGGATACTCTGGGGTATCACCCCAGTGCTCTGTCCAAGCTAGGTTGTACGGACATCTTCAATCAGGTGCCCCCAATGCTGAGAACTGTCCCATTGCCCATTTGATCTCACCCTCCCTACCCCCCATGAAAACACCGCGATGGATGTAGTGCTGTCAGTCATTCACAGTGCTTGAAGAAATGGCCTTTACAAAGCCCCACTTGGATTCATAGCACTACATGAGTATATAAAATGGCACCAGCTGGATGTTAACTGAACAGCTGTCTCAGAGCAGCATCACTAGCAGAGGAGGGGGAACCCATTACAGCTAGTATACTCTGGAGGAAAAACCTACAGCAGCCTTGTGGCATGAGTGTGCCCCCTAAAATGCCTCACTGCCACCCTGCAGGGTTGCAACACCGTGTCAGCTCATTGACTGGCTGGGACAAAGCCTGGCAGATAGTGTTAAATGGAAGCCCCTCGTATAGTCTGCCCAGTATGCTTCCAAGTTGCATCTAAGCCCCAGTGCCCATAGCTGGGAATCAGTCTGGGACATGTGGGCATGCAACTCTGAACCCAGGACTTCACCCTGCTCCTCCCGGCCTGCCATCCGGCAGCTCACCACCCAGACTGTCCCGAAACCTTGGTTAAGACCTAGCCCTCTGCCTACCCCCATCCCCAGAGGGCCCATTGGACTCATCTGACTTCTTCTCCCTGCCCAGGAGCAGGAAAGGTCTGGGCAACAGGGCTCAACCTGGTCCCAGACTGCCTCACTGTGCCCTCCAGCTTGTGCTCTAGCTATGCTCTCTGCTCAATCTCCTGGCTTCTCACCCCAATTTGCTTCAGCTCCACTCTCTGCCCGATTCCCCAGCTTCCTGACTCTGCCTTGTCCCTAGGCTGAGCTCCTGCCTTTCTGAACCCACTTGTCCCTGGAACCTGCTCCCAACACCCATCCGGCACCTGGATCCCAGAGCAGCCCCAGACCCGACTGCACACAACCCAGTGCGACATCCCGGAAAACACTCACCTTCTGGCATCTCCTCTTCTGCATCGCTAAAGTCATAGGGGTCATAAGAATCTCCCTCCTTGCCATCCTGGTCCTGAGAGGCTGACTTCCTCCTCCTGCCGGGTAGAGAAAAGGTTACTCCTGTGCCTGCTACGCAAGGCAACACCTCCTGCCCTTGAAGAAACGCGTGGTACTCTCCTAACCGTGGTTTGAGGAGACCACTAGGCAGCGAGGGGCTACTCTCCCATCATTCGTGGGACCACATGCTAGTATCCAAGACGGAGTATGCAGGTGCAACCCGCAGCATGGCGCACAGCAGCCCAGAGGCACTGGCAGGCTGCACATGTGGTCCTGACACTAGCCACAACCACACTATCTTGCAGACTGCTGAAATGCCTTCATGCCTTCGACTACCTGAAGGGGGGTTCAAAAGAGGATGGAGCTGGACTGTTCTCGGTGATGGCAGATGACAGGACAAGGAGCAATGGGCTCCAGTTGCAGCAAGGGAAGTTGAGGTTAGATATTAGGAAAAACTCACTCATTAGGAGGGGTAGTGAAGCTCTGCAACAGGTTACCCAGAGAGATTCTCCATCCTTGAAGGTTTTTAAGACCTGGCTAAATGAAGCCTTGGCTGGGATGATCTGGTTGGGGCTGGTCCTGCTTCGAGCAGGGGGTTGGACTATGCAACTTTCTGAGTTCCCTTCCAACCCTCCTTGTCTATGACTGTAAGGCACAAACCTTTGCTCAGCCCAGGCTGATCATTGCTGGGAAATCCATTCCTGGAGCAGTTTGGTCAAACAGCGGGGGTTGGTCAATGGCACCAACTGTGCCATCCAGGTTTACACACACCCCTCCACCCACCTCTTTTTCTTTCTCTCCGCTGCCTCCACCTCCTCCTCCTCATCTCTCTCCGTGTCATCATCCTGCTGCTTCTTGCGCTTCTTCTCCTTCTCTAGCACCTGCAGAGGAAAACGGACGGCCCGACACGAGCAGGTCAAAGCCAGCACTGACACCAGACTGGTGATATAGTCACTCAAAGCAGCCAGAGCAGCAGGCACACTGGAACAGCATTGGTGACGGTACGCAATATTTTATACAACAGGAGATGGTTTCAGCACCTCCACGTGCTTTCAGTCCAGTGTAAGCTCAACACCCCGAGACGTGCCACTATTCCCTGCATTTGACCACGGGCAATTACAGCACAGAGGAGTCACCTGCCCAAAAGCAGCATCACCAGAGAGGGAACCCAGAAGCTCAACTTCTTGCATCCCAAAACCAGTGCTCCTGACTTTTAAGGGCCTGGTGCCAGCTCCAAACACAGTGAAGATTCAGAATAGTCTATTAGCCTCAAGGTGGCAAGCCAAGCCCCTAAACCTCTCCTGCCCCAAGTCACAGCTGCCACGAGCAATCGCAGCCAGGAGCACATCACAGCTGGGGTCTTAGAGAGAGGCTCTCCCACTCTCTCCAGCGAGAGCCAGAAGCAGATGCAGAGAGCACCCAGCTCCTCCAAGTCCCAATGTAACGGTGCCCCTTCAGTATAAGGCTTTAGCTCCAAGAGCCCACTGAAGGGCAAGGCAGCCCTCCCTCGACGCACTCTCACCTTCTTGAAGTAGGCAAACTGCACCAGCTCCACGGCTGCTTCGGCGTCCTGCAGATCAATGGTCTTGCTCATGCGGGCCTTGGCGTGGGCCGTGGAGAGCCGGATGAGCGTCTCCAGCGTCCGGGCCGTGACTGGGGAGGTCTGGGGAAGGACAGATGTGGAGGGGAAGGGGTCACACAACAACTTCATCGGTTGTGAAACGTGTTGGCTGGGCTGGGAAAGGCAGGACCGAGGCAAGCGGCAGACAGGGCCAGCCAGAAAACCAGGGTAGGAAACATGTTTGGCCCATGAGGTGGGGCTCCAGCCTCAGGTATAACAAGTGCTACAGCCTCAGCATCCAGCAGGCTAAAGCAATGAAAGCTATGGCTCAAGGCTGACCATTTGCTTTCAGAAAAAGGGCAACAACCCAGCCCGAAGACTCAGCCTTGCAGTGAGCTTCTCTGGGATCCTAGCAGACCCCAGGCCACAATTCAGGGGCAAAGTGCGGGCAGCTCACAACTGCAGTGCCCCGAGAGCAGCAGGGGACTGCACCGCCGGCCAAGCCTCAGCTCGAGGGCACTGCCTGGATCGCTCACCCTGGCCACATCGGAGTTGATCTGGTCCTGGCTGCGGAGGCGGGAGTACTCCTCTGCGATGTAGCTGGCTGACTCTTCAGTCAGAACGGGCTTGATGATCTTGGCCACGTGGATGTACTTCCGCATGAACTCCATGCTGACGATCTTCTCTCTGCCGGGGACACGCACACCCGCGTCACGTGAGAAGCGAGCACACGGGAAGCTTCACACAGCCCTTTTCTCACCTGCTGTTTACGTGAAAGGGACCCCCAGAAAAGGGACACATGCTCTCAAAGCTGTGCATTTTGAACACACACATGACACTCGGCAGAGAGATACTTCCCTGTAGCCTGTGCTACAGGCTGGGGCACCAGGGCAGCAGCATAGCACCCCAGAGGTGGGAAGAGAAGTCGTTCTTCCATGCTGCTCAGCAATGCAGTATTGTACAGTACAATTTTGGGCCTCACACTTCAAGGATATGGACAGATTGGAAAGTTCAATATCTTCATTAACAAGCTGGAAGATGGGATGGATTGCACCCTCAGCAAGTTTGAAGATGACACCAAGGTGGTGGGGGGAGTATCAGATATGCTTGGGGATAGGGCTAGGATTCAGAGAGACCTAGAGAAATTGGAGGATTGGGCCAAAAGGAATCTCATGAGGTTCAACAAGGACAAGTACAAAGTCCTGCACGTAGGACAAAACAATCCCATGCGCCAGTACAGGCTGTGGGGGTGACTGGCTGGGCAACATCTCTGCAGAAAAGGACCTGGGGGTGACAGGGAACAATAAGATGAATATGAGCCAGCAGTGTGCCCTTGCTGCCAAGAAGGCTAATGGCATCCTGGGCTGCATTGGTAGGAGTGTTGCCAGTAGCTCAAGGGAAGTGATTCTTCCCCTCTATTCAGCACTGGTGAGGCCACATCTGGCGTCCTGCATCATGTTTTGGGCCCCCCACTACAGAAAGGATGTGGTCAAGTTGGACACAGTCCAGAGGAGGGCAACCAAAGTGGTTCAGGGCTGGAGCACATGACTTCTGAGAAGAGGCTGAGGAAACTGGGCTTATTTAGTTTAGAGAAGAAAAGGCCAAGAGGAGATTTAACAGCAGGGTGGCTCCAAAGACATGGTACTGGTCTGTCCTCAGTGGGGGCAGATGACAGAACAAGGAGCAATGTTCTCAACTTGCAGCAAGGGAAGTTTAGGTTAGATGATAGGAAAAAAATTCTTACTAGGAGGATAATAAAACTGGAATGGGTTACCCAGAGAGGTGGTGGAGTCTCCATCCTTGGAGGTTTTTAAGACCCGGGTAGACAAAGCCTTGGCTGGGATGATGTAGTTGGGGATGGTCCTGCTTTGAGCAGGGGGTTCGACTAGATGTGACCTCCTGAGGTCCCTGCCACCCCTCACTTTCTATCGTTCTACCCAAAAGGTGATTATGGAGAGGATGGAGATGGGTTTTTCTCTGTGGCTGCAGGGGATAAGACTAGGAGCAGTGGCTTGGAAATTAGGAGGAACTTTCTGACTCTCCGGGTGCTCAAGCACTGAACAGGCTTACCAGAGAAGCTGAGGAATCACCATCCCTGGACATTAAGAGCAGGTTAGTCTGATACTTGACTGGGATGGTTTAGTCAGGTATAGTCCTGCCGTGAGCAGGGGCCAGGCAAGACAACCTTGCAAAGTCCCTTCCAGCCCTGCTTTGCTATGATCCTAAACACCTGGGACCTGGAGGCACAGGGGCAGGCCCTCTCCACGGGCAGCGGACTCAACCACCCCACAGAAGGACACTCACTTGCGCCGGTTGGGCCCGTGCAGAAGGTTATCATGTTTTTCATACACCTGCAGCTCCTGCTCCTCCTCCTGGATGAAATCGGGGTCTTCTGTGGCCAGGATCTCCACGGCGCTGCCCAGGGGCATGGCTGCAGGTAGAAGGCATGAGTTTAGGTGGGATTGGGGACAGCAGTATTTCCGCACCCTTCGTCTGTACCCTCAAGGGACAGGCTCATAAGGGAACCTAGAAACAACTATACCTACAGCTTGGCTAAGCCCTGAAATTAGCTGGCACTGAAGCGAGACACTGCAGGCTGGGAACGGGGTTAGGAAATATGGGATAAGACCATAATTATTAGGCCAAATAGCAGGCGAATCTCCTTCCCAGAGAGGCCTGTTTGATGGCAGTCCTCAATGACAATGACGACCATGCAGGAAGTCCAGCTCCCCCGCTGCAGCCCCCAGGCCTGGAGAGGACAGGCAGGCAGGACTGTGGCACCGCACAGCAAAAAGCGTACTGGAGTGTGCGGGGATAGGGGATGCTGGAGAGGAGTCCCAGCTCACGGGTAATGAAAGAAGCACCAACTTTTCAGACAATGCATGGGGCTTTCAGAGGGAAATCTGAACTCACCATCCCCATCCTGCTCATTGGGGCCCCGGTACCGGTGCATGCGCAGGACGTGGTCCGAGATCTCCCGATCCTGCTCGGGATCCATCTGATCCAGGACAATGAAGAGCAGGTCAAATCGAGACAGCAAGGAGTCCTGAAGGCCGATGTTCTCCATGGGAGTCTTGTACTGATCGTACTGCAAGTAAGGGGAGCGAGTTGTTAAAGGCAATGCCGCAACCATCAGCCATGCCTGGAAATCTCAGCTTTCAGAGCGGCAAGGAGACCCCAGCACAGCTGGAGATGGGAGGGAAGGGGGCAGTTAAGGGCTAATGCCCCAGCTTAGCAGGTCATTTCACACACGGCCTTCTCCATAGCTGGCTGCAAGCCGGGTGCTCAAAACTATCCCCAACACTGGGAGGGGAATGCATCAAGTCTGGGGCTAAAACTAAATGCCCAGGAGAGCGAAAGAAAAAACAGGGAAAGGATGTGGGTCAAAGATTTAAAGCTAGGGAAGCAGAGGGGAGCACTGAGCCAGCTCTTGACAGCAGCCATCCCTCCCTGAAGAGGCTGAAAGATTTGGTGGCCGCCAAACAGAGGAACTTTGTCCCCAGGCACGAAGTGGCCAGGGACCAGAGTTGGCCCCACTATCACGGGGCCCCCAGGCACCTGCTTTGTTCCACTTCCAACTCATCAGCTTCAAGACAGTGCTACACTAGACAGAGCATGAGCCCAGCTTCGACTTTAGGACAGACTCATGATGTCGACACTTCAGAGATTTGGCCCAAATGACCTGGGGGTCTCTTCCAACCCTGACTCCCCCCAGCCCCTTATTTGAACTGGAAGTTTGCACTGCCTGGAGTTTCCCCCAGGGTCTCCTGGCCAGCCCGCTATTCCAGTCCCAGAGGAGATGAGATAAAGGAGTCCCCTGGAAAGGAGAATGAGAACTGGACCCTATTTGGTTTCACACGCTCATGCCTGATCTCCAGCTCTTGGCAACAAGGCAGTTCAGGCAGCCCCCGTGGACAATCAGCCTTCACTTCACTCACCCTGCCGTAGACGGGGTTGGCCGCGGCCAGCACACTGCAGCGCGCGTTGAGCCGAGCGTGGATGCCGGCTTTGGCGATGGTCACGCGGCCCTGCTCCATCACTTCGTGGATGGCCGTGCGGTCGATGTCGGACATCTTGTCAAACTCATCGATGCAAACCACGCCCCGGTCAGCCAGGACCATGGCACCTGCTTCCAGGCGGCGCTCCCCTGATGGAAAAACGTCTGGGGTGACACCCAGCCAATGTCCCCAAACCCTCCCCTGCAGCCTCCAGCAAGCTCCCTCTTCTCCCTATGGGTGCAGCCACCCCCTTCAGCCCCAAATGATCATGGACTGACACAGTCCTGACTTCAGACCCCTTCTGCCTAGCTCTCCTCAGTGAGGGAGGCAGCCGGGTCAAGAAGCAAGCAAGACACAAGCAGGGCAAACCTTCAAAACTGAACCTGTGGGATGGGAGGAGGAAGTATAATCAGCTTCCCAGCAAGCGAGGGAGGATGCTATCCAGGCAAAGACTACAGAAACCCTCCCATTGCTACTGCACCCCTAAGCACATCCCCCGGACAGGATCCAGCCTGCCCCTTACCAGTCTCCTGGTCTGTGGTGACGGCTGCAGTCAGACCCCCCCCCCAGGAGCCCCTGCCAGTCGTGGCGATGGCCCGGGGGGCTGTGGAGAGCACGTACCGCAGGAGCTGAGATTTAGCGACCGACGGGTCTCCTGGAAGGGACAAAGGCGTGATCACGGTGTGGTCAATCACACCTACTTTGAAGCTCAAGCAAACCTAAAATCATCATCATAGGATCCCAGTGCCACCCTGGGAGTCTGAAAGCCAATTCCCCCAGCCGTACCTATCAGGAGGACATTAATGTCTCCTCTGATGCGAGTCCCGTTATCCAGCACTTTCTCCACCCCGCCAAGCAGCATGCACAGAATCGCCTTCTTGATGTACTCATGCCCATGGATACTGGGTGCCAGGGACTTCGAGAGCTGGTCGAAGATGTCCTAAGACAGAAGAAGGGAGGGTACAAAAATAAGAAACCCCCGGCAGCGAGAAGGGGAGATCAAGCAGCTCAGGCTCTGTTAGGCAGGAAAGGAGGGGACTTTAACTGGTAACATGTCCAGCCCATTCCCCTTTGCAGCTGGGACCAAATCAAGAAGAGACTCAACAGGTTCGATTCCCTGAACTCCAGCCATTGGGGACAACAGCTGAGAAGCGGAAGAGTGGAGTATTCAACATCAGCGATACA